TCAGTGTTGGCAAATGGACAATTGGAAAATCAAATTAACCAATAGTATTAGATGATTAATTGGATAATTGGACTCTAACAATTAGACCAACCAATGATATTCATTAGTTGATTGTCCAATTGTCCAATTGCCAACACTGGCTTATGTTGTGGTTCAAGCTGTAGCTCCATTGTCTTGATTCGGCTCGGCTTCAACTTGCAGCCAAAAGCTTTAGCTCGGTGTGCTATGCTAAGTCGATCTGCGTTAACGTTAGGGTTTTGCGTTGGTGTTAAACAATATTTTCCAAATTTTATTTTATAGTCGGTGAGTATTAATTATTTTAGCTGTCTGGATATAGGTGGGAAGCATATCTTTATAATTACTCTACGTTTAAAAACATTTATTATATATATATAATATTCTTTGAAAAATACAGTATACATAATATTTAACATTATATCTAATATGATATATTTTGTACTGTACGCTTACAGTATATTAAATATTATCACAGTTGTTTCTCTAATGTAAACTCCAATGACATTATTTAATTGTAAATTAGATTAATAACACCCTTACTTACGTTAGCATACCAATCTATATTCAGAAAAATATTGATATTTTATGATTTATTGTTATAGAAATCGTTTTTATGGAAAATGTACGCAATGTGACGAATTTAACACCAACCAAGCATGGTGCCAGACATGTGATCCTGACATAGCAACACAAGGATGGACAAGTAGAAATAAGGATGTTGACGATTGTATCAAAGAATTCCAACTTAAAGCTATATCACATACAAAGGTGATTGAATGGATTCCTTTTGATAGACTAATTAATATTAAAAAAATTGGCGAAGGAGGTTTTAGCATTGTGTATTCGGCAATATGGTTAGATGGTAGGCGTAAAATTGAAGGTGATAAGGGAAGCTACAACAAATCGCGTGAACAAGCAAATACAGTTGCCCTTAAAACATTGTCTGGTTCTAAGAAAAATCCGGTTGACTTTTTGAATGAAGTAAGTGTAAATAATTTTTGCATAATATTGAATTATGCATATATAATAATTTTAATAATTTTTAATTATTCTTCTGCATTGACATTGATGCAAGTTTAAGAATCACTCAAGATGTAGATTATTAGGTAGTAGATTTGAGGTATATGGACTAACTCAAAATACAGAGACTAACGAATATATGATGGTATTTCAATATGCTGATGGCGGAAATCTTCATATGTTTTTAAGATCAAATTTTAAAAATCTTACATGGCAGAGTAAATTACAGCAACTTAAAAATGTATTGCATGACTTAATTCGAATTCATGGTGCAGAATATATTCATGCAGATTTTCATAGCGGTAATCTTTTACAATCTTACGCAGGCGGGTATATACAATCCTATATCTCAGATTTAGGATTATCTAAAAAAAAGGATGAGATTATTTCAGAAGGTGACATCTATGGAGTCATGCCCTATATTGCTCCTGAAGTCTTACTGGACAACCAATTTATCCAAGCAGCTGACATTTATGGTTTTGGTATAATTATGGCAGAAATAACAACTGGAAAGAGACCTTTTGACGGCCATAAATTTAATACTCAACTCGCATTAAATATTTGCAGCGGATTGAGACCAGAATTTGCTACTGGAATCCCTAATTGTTATATTGAGTTGGCTAAGAAATGCATGGATTCAAATCCGCAGACTCGACCTACTGCTAAAGATATTTACTTAAAACTCGACGAATGGCATAATAAGTTAAAGTATTTAGATAACAGAGATGAAATTAAAAAAGAGTTTTTGATTGCAGATGAAATGGTTAAAAACTTGCCGATTGTTCTACCAGAACATCCAGATTCTATGTATACGAGTAAAATTATAAGTACGAGAGAAATAGTAACTGCAGCCAGAGGTATTCATAATTGAAATTGTCTACGAATCATTTAATGTGTACTAAGGCAAATCATTGAAATGTTATTTAGACTCTTCTCAAATTGAGCTTCAAATATTCTATAGTACGAAAAATAAGAACAATTCATGTATGTATACGTGTATAAATAGTTATATAGTAGTTGTAAATTTTTAATATAATTTACCATCTTTCTAGCTGAAAATAAAACTCAGGATAACTAAATATTTTAAAAGTAAGTTTATATTATTTAATGTTTAAATTTCGAATTTTCTGCATTAATAATTTAGGTATTTTAGTTATAGCTGTAAGCTTATAATATTTACATAAAGATTGAAATTAATATATAACTGGATAGTTGTATTAGTTAAATTTATGAGTATTTGCCAAATATATGGGTTCTAATGTTTTCCTATAAATATTTCTGCATTTATCACATTTGAAGCATATATGTTATACGATCTAAATTTGATTTATAGGTGTATGACATAGCGGAATATATATTACATAAGGCATTTATATAATTTACTTTGTCATCAAGATTTTATTATAAATAAAGCCCTAACGTCTCGTTTTGTTACATGATAAAATGCGATTCTATAACTAGGGATGGCAAAAAAACGTTTTTTATCCTGCAATAATTTTAACGTTTTTTAAAACATTAGTGATTTTGGAGGATGACGGCAAGAACTGAAACTACTCACGTCACTATTTATTAGCATGGTACATCTCATTCTTACAAAACCTACATTGTAATTAACGTAAAATATGATCAAGTCACTTGATATTTGTTTTTTAAAACATTTGCTATCCATGCCTATAACTGTCCCAAATTATTGCTAAGTGATATAGCAGTAGATTCGTTCATGCATTTTCTTTGTTTACCTGACTTCAACCGTGGCTATCGGCTCATTCTGATAACTAATTGAACTAACCAAACATAAGACGGTTACACGGACGAAGTCTATAAAGAGTAATTATTTTTATAATTTACATGACATCATTGGTCTGACTTCAAAAATTATTACCCATATAGATTCGATTACCGTGATTTAGCTACCCTCAAAAGGAATTTGTAATTATCGCTAATCCTGTTTTGAATTATGACACGAGATAGTGATAGAATCTCGATATCTATTAACGTTAACGTTTTTTAATGAAAGAATTACGTATACAAATTCGGAAATGACTAAGCCTCACATTACGTAAATACAGGAAATCATTTAACTAACAAAAAAAATAAAATAAAGGAAAAAATTTTGTCTTAGATTTTCAAAGAAACTAATTATGGATGACAACTTACTAATTACAAATTTATTCTCTATAAAGGGGGAAACAGCATTGATTACGGGTGGCGGCACAGGAATTGGTAAAATGATTGCAAAAGCATTTGTTAAAAATGGTGTTAGGGTTTATATCGCATCAAGAAATAAAGAACATCTTGAAAAAAGTAATCTAATATTGTTATTAAAATGTAAAATATTAAACAATCGTAACGATTGATATGTAATTTTTTTTAAGCTGCTGAAGAATTAACAACAATGGGTCCTGGTGTATGCTATAGCATCGAAACGAACTTAGTTTCTAAAGAAGCATGTGAAAAGCTAGCTTCAAAAATTGAAAAATTAGAAAATGGAAAGCTTGACATTCTTGTGAATAATGCTGGTATAGTGGAATACAATGCTACTCTGACAGATTTTCCTGAAGAAGCATGGGATGAAATGTATAATTTACATGTTAAAAGTGTATTTTACTTGACAATTGCGTAAGAAATTTTATTGCCATATAAGATTGTGACAGTATATCTGAATTAAGTGTTAAATTTTTATGTTTTAGCTACTTACCGTTGCTTGAAAAAGCTAGCAATAAGCCAATTGATCCATCAAGAGTAATTATAACTGGAAGCATTCTTGGTAATTGATTTTTTAAAAAATTATTTGATTATCCTGATATACTAATTTTCTTTACACAATCAGGCATTGGCCATGGTGAACTCAAGTTTGCGCAAAAACGCGGGTCATGCTCTCTACCTTATTCTTCTTCCAAGCATGCCGTACATGGTGTTGCGAAGAATTTGGCTGTTCATCTTACGTACATAACCATTATATTATATTTAAAATTTTTCGATTTTTTTGGTCTAAAGTTTTTTTTTATTTCAAACAGGTCACGAGGAGTAAATGTCAATATTCTTGCGCCTGGTGTTATTCCTGTAAAGGATATATTTTATGAATTTATTAACTCTATCATCTCTGAAATTCCTCAAGGTAGATTAAAATTATTAGATTCGCCAATTTCTTGCTTTAATTTAATTAAAAATTTCTAGGTCGTGCTGGAAATGAAGCTGATATGGCTGGTGCAGCAATATACCTATCTTCGCGTGCTAGTAGTTGGGTAACTGGTACGGAAATTATAGTTGATGGTGGGACCCTTTTGAACTTTAAATTATCAGATATATAAATAGAAATTTATAATTTGATTTATGGATATTTATGGATATTTATAATAGCTATTTTTTAATATAACTATTTGCGATATAATGGATGTAGTCAAATTATAACACATAATCAGCCGATTGAATTATGTTTACCAAAGTTACGAATTAATTCTACCAACATTATGTTTACTAGAGTTACGAATTAAATTCTACCAAAATTATATTTACCAGAGTTACGAATTAATTCTACCAAAATTATGTTTACCAGAGTTACGAATTAATTTTACCAAATTTACAAAAATTATGTTTACCAGAGTTACGAATTAATTCTCCCAAATTTACAAAAATTATGTTTACCAGAGTTACGAATTAATTCTACCAAAATTATGTCTACCAGAATTACGAATTGATTCTATCAAAATAGGGTTGTTAACTTACATGTAAATTTACCGTAATTTACCAATTTTAAGTTTACTGTAACTGACGTAAATTACTTGTAAGTTATGTGAGCTGATCGACAAATATTGTACGTCATATTATTATTTGTATCAAATTAACTTAATGAAACTCTTTCAAACTTTGATCTGATGCAAATTTTAATTTGGCTCACAATATTTATATATAAATAGTATCAAAAAATAGCATATCTGTATTTAATATTCTCTATTATTATCATGCCACGTCAAAGAGGTGAATTTTGGAATGGATTTACAAAAATAATCAAAGATGAGCAAGAAAGATATGAATGTAAAAAATGTAATAAATCTTGGGTCAAAAATGAATCACGAATGTTACAGCATTACAATTTATGTTTTTTAAATAAGATAGAAGAATCATCAACATCTATATCTAATACACAAGTCAATAAAATTACTCAAGACGAACAGGAAGAATTAGCAAGTTTATTAGTACGTGGAATTTATTCTAGTAGTGTTTCTTTTAACATAGTAGAAAATGATGATATTAAAGCATTTTTTAAAAAAGCATGTCCATTTTTTAAATTACCTACATGACAATCTCTTTTAAAAATTCTTCTTTTTAAGAAGTATAATGATATTAATACTGTTATTAGTCATCTGTTTAGTGAAACACAATATTTCTGTCTTATAACGGATGGTTGGTCTAATATTTATAAAGATTCAATTATGATTGCAATTCCCAAACCTGTTTTTTATAAATCTGTACATACAAAAGAAGATTAACATATGGCAGCAAATATTGCAGAAGGAATTGAAGCAGTAATGAATGAACTTGATATTAACAAGTTCATTGCGGTAATTACAGATAATGCACCAAACATGAAAGCTGCTTGGCGTATTCTCAAAAGTAAATATCCAATAAAAATATTTTTAGGATGTTGGGCTCATGGATTAAATCTTTGGATAAAAGACATCTTAAAATTGGACTGGGCAAAAAAAATCTTAGATAATTCTAAAAATATTGTTCATTATTTTCATTTCATTTAATACCCTTAGCAATACTTCGTTGGCTTCAAATTGAAAAATATAGACATTTTATTTTATTAGTATCAACAGTCAGTACACGGTGGGGATTAGCATTTTATTGTTTGGACTATTTATTACAAACAAAAAATGCAATTCGTTCTATATTAGTTGAAGACAATATAGAAATTAATTATAATATTAAACTCCTTATTATGGATGATCAGTTTTGGCAAGATCTAAAAATTCTTCATGATTTTTTAGAACCTTTTGTTTGTTTAATTAATGAGCTTGAAGGAGATTCACCACTTTTATCAGTTGCATTTTTCAAATTACGACAGTTAGAAATATCTATATGCAATAATACTTGTGTTTCAAATACAATTATTGTAGAAAGTATGCAACTTGTACAACATCATTGGAATGATTTTTTATATAACCCAGCTACTATGGTAGCATATAAACTAGATCCTTGATATTGTGGTGAGATTTTAGATTCAAACAAATGGGACTCAATAATTGAAAGTGAATTAATGCACCTTGCTGGACTGGAAAATCAAATTCAAGTTTTAGAAGAGTTTGCTAAATATGTTGGAAAAAGTGGAGGATTTTTAGCAAATTATTTGTGGGATTCAATTAAAGAAAAACTATGCAATTGGTGGAATTTGCTTAAGGCACGATATCCAGTATTGAGTGATATAGCATTAAAAGTACTTTCAATACCTGCAACTTCTGCGGCTAGTGAACGAAACTGGTCAGCATTTAGTTTTATTCATACTAAATTATGTGATTGTTTACTTAATCCACATGTAGAAAAAATTGTATACATATATTGGAATCTTCGGGCTTTACGTTCACTAAAACGGCCACTTTCAGTAAATGAATTAAAACAAAAAGGTTATTTGATCGGGAATGATTCTATTTTAGAATCAAACAAACTGGAATTAATAGATGATGATAATATTAACTTAGAGTTAGACGAAATAGAATTAATGGAAGAAAATAATTTAGACTTAGATTCTTTTTTATATAAATATGGTTTATCTGATATAAATGAGTAGAACATTAATTAGCACAAGGTGATTAGGTTAAAAATTATTCATTGTAATGATAACAGTAATAATAGATTAGCTGATTTAAAATAGATAAAGTACTTACTCACTAATGACAAATTGATTTAGAGGCATTATTTAATGATAAAGTTTTATGAGCCTAATCCTAATTAAAAAGATTATTAACAGTTCTATACTCACTAGCTAGATAAACATGAATTATTGTTTAATAGCACACGAATAGTTGACTTAAACAGACTAATAAATAGCTTAATATTAAGTTACTATACTTACTAACTAAATTATAATACGTTGTTAATTATAAAGTATGATAAACTTGAATAACCTTAAGTTAACATGCCTTTATACTCACTCTCTGAATTAATACAAAATGATGATTGAAGCGAGGATATGTTTGATAGCAAATCCTAATAATCTCGAATTACTGGTTTTCAATAATATTATATACTCACTCCCTAAATCGACATTAATTGAGTGAATTTTCTTATTATTTAGTAGTCAACAAATGTTCTTTATACTCACGAGCTAAGCAAAATTGAAAGGTAATTGCTTAATGAAAATGAAATAACTTATTTAAATATATCAATAATATTTTATACTCACACGCTAAACTTATATTAATGAATCAAAAATTTAAAGTTGAATTTGCATGGTTTTAAATTGCAGTACTTACTAACTAAAAAAAAACAGATGAAATGAATAGAATGGCATTGAACGGCATTGAACAAGATCTTATTAGTTTTACTGCAAAATTTCAAATAGACAATCCTAATATTTCAGAAGTCTAGCAACAAAGGTTTTAAAAATTCATTATTCTGATTATTCAATATCACAATAGTTTTAATATAATTTTCGGGATGAATTGTTAGGGTATTGAATAACTTGGATTATGAATTTTGTGATTGTAATTTCGGTCACCTACTAAATATTTTTTATACTTACAAGCTAAATTAAATAAATTATTTAATGGAAGCCTTTTAGAAATTGAAATGTTGCATTTAAATTATTTAAATTAATAAAATTTCTTTCACTCACTCGCTAATTAGTACAAAAAATAAAAATGCATTATCGCAAAACCCTGGTTACATATCGTTATTTAAATAGATTCAGTAGATTTTTACCTCTAAACTTACCAACTAAGCTAAATAGTTAAATGAATTAAAAGTAAGTATACAAAAATAAATTTTGGACATTGATAAGCTAATAGATATTATTAACATACTCTTAACACTTACGAACTGGACGAATAATGGATTAACATTAAATTTTATAGGATTGAATTTCTCATTTCTCTATACTCACAAGCTAATTAAACGAATGAAATGAACTTAAGAATGAGTGTTGATTCAATCAGGCCTACCGAAAAATCAATTAAAATTAATTTTTGTTATACGTCATACAATTAAAATCAATTAAAATTAATTGAAACCCAAATAATTGCAATTAATTGCAATTAATTACCATTTGCCACATGGTTGCGATGAATCATTATACGTGACAAATAAGGATTTACTGATTAATCAATTAGTGAACTCTTATTTGTCACGCAAATAATTCATCACACCAAAAATTGCAATTAATTGACTCATTGTGACTGCGTCACCAATCAATTAATTGAGTTTAAAAAATTGCAATTAATTGCCCCACAATCAATTATTCGGTAGGCCTGGATTCAATAATAATAATATTCCATACACTCACAGGCTAAATTAACATGAATGAAATCAATAGAAAAGTATTATTCAATGGAAATTCTTACAATACGATTATTATTATACTCACGAACTAGATTAAATTAATGAAATGAATTGAGAATTACTTATTTATTATTGATAATCACCATAAACTTCTTTATACTCACGTACTAGATTAACGTAAACGAAATTATTTGTGAAATTCTGTCTAATATTAATGCTCGAATTGCAATTTTAAAGATGTTGTACTCACTCACTAAATTATTTAAATAATTATTGATCAAGCCATTTACTAAATAGATAAAATGAAGAACAAGAACTACTCACAGACTAATTTATGTAACAATAAAGTTGGTTCAAATTTTGTTGAGCTTAAAATTTTTGCTTTGTTAATTGTTTTTTATTGCTATACCAAAATACTTACTCACTAGTTATACATCATAAACGAATAAATAAGAATTTGATTTAAGAGATTAAATAATTAAAATATTATTTATACTCACTCACTAATCGATATGAAAGATACTTAGTGGTAAGTTCTTATAAACTTAGTTGCTGACTTTATAAATGTTAACAATACTTACTCACTATATTAATATAAATGAAATAAATAAAAAGGCATCTTATTTTGAACAAGAATTTATGGTTTTAAATAAATTAATATATTCTAAAACTCACAAGCTAAATTATCATGAATAAAAATGAATAGAGGTATTGTTTATGATAATTGCCGATTAAATAAATTTAATGCTCATTATGCTAATATACTTACGAACTAAATCAACATGAATAAAATAATGGTATTATTTTTATGGTAGATTTTTATCGTTATTAATAGAGTGATAAATGGCTTTTATACTTACCGACTAAATTAAAGTGAATATGAATGTGAATTTAAAGATGTTACTGATTTCCAACGAATTAATTTATTTTTTATACTCATTCCCTAAAATATAAATGAAATGGCAAATCTTCATGAATTTGAATTGCAGATTTTAATAAATTAATATTATTTTAATACTTGCAGTCTATATGTGTAAATGAGATGGAAAATTTTCATTTTGTAAGGCTGAATTCCTACTTTTAAACAGATTAATAATGTTTATACTCACAGTCTAAATTATCACGAATTAAATAAACATATGCATTGTTTTATTATACATGATTATAATCTTTTACTATCTATTTAAATACTGTATATTAATATATTGTCTTATACTTATAGACTTAATTAATAAGAATGAATTTAAAAGCGTTAATACATAATAATCCTTTTGAACTTAAATTAAAACAACGAAAGAGTTTATACTCACATGCTAGATTAAATTGAGGTATTGTAGAGTGGTAAATATCATGAACTTAAATGATTGATTAATGAAAGTCATCATACTCACGAGCTAAATCATTACGGATGAAATAAGAGATTTGGATCTGTTTTGAGTATAGTAGGTTCATAAATAATCTTTATACATGCCGACTAAATTAATACACAATAAAATGATGAAAAGACATATTTTTATGTAAGCCGTTATGCGATAATTTCCTGATTCTGAATAGAATAAAATGTTTTTGTATTTACTCCCTGATAATTTAAATAAAATGTTAGTATAAATTTGTAATTTATAAGTAAATAATTATAGATATATTATATTTATGATGTTAACGCTAAAGATTAACTTACTTTTTAAGCCATTCTTTTGCTTTATCCAGATCCTTTTCTACGCCAATTCCAAATAGGTAACAAATGCCGGTTTTGAAGATTCCCATAGAATTGTCTCTCTCGGCTGATGCTTGATAATGGATAAACGCACTATATTTATCAATTCTAACACCAATACCTAAATAATAACAGCTGCCTAATTGAAACATTCCGTTAGAATCTCCCATATCAGCCGATTTTTTATACCATGTAAATGCCATATTCTCATCTTTTTCAATTCCTATTCCGTTTTGATAACAATAGCCAAGATTATTCATTGCACAGGTGTCCATTTATGCCGATTTTTTATAATGAATAAATGCTTCATATTCATCCTTTTGAATTCCAATTCCACTTAGATACCGGTTGCCAAGCAACAAACGTCTGTCAGAATCTTCTATTGCAGATTCTTGATAATCATCGAAGTCCAATTGACTAAAATCGCTGGTCATTTGAGAACTGTCAATTGTTGAATTAATTTCATTCATTAGCTTATCTGCAATTTTAGTATTACAATCCTCAACTAAAAGTTTTTTATTTGCCATTCGAATCCTACGAATAAAAGTTAATGTATTTAAACTAGTAAACTAAATAATAGTTTATATATAGTAATATAACCAGCCTAGCATGTGCTACAGTATTGTTGATTTGGAATTATTTATAGTTATTTAATTTGATGGTTTGCGTTTTTGTGTTTCCCCGTGAGCGCCACTTTTCCATTTTAAACTAAAAAGGAAATTGTTTGTTCCGACATTTTTGTATGTACTTGTACTTGCGCTTGTACTTGTACTATGCAGATATGTGCGTTACGCACGCACCAGTTCTAGTGCAGTTCCCCGAAAATTTTTTACCGAATCCACGTTGTATTTATAGTTTTTTTTTTTTTTTTTAGAGGCTTAGCACCTCTGTAGACGACCAATTTGACCTCGGTTTGGTCAATTTAAATCGAGTTTAGTTTCAATTCGTGGCTTACTTCAATAATGAGATTTAAGGTTTGGTGAGGCTATAGTGACAATAAAAGTATGCCGACCGGTTTATAGATGATTAATTAAAGAAAGAAAGATTCATTTGAGCACAGTATTTCCGCTCAAGACTTTCGAATTCTTGATTTTAATAAAATTGTCTCGTTAAAGTATGTTTTGATTAATTATGTTCCTTTTAAGTTCGATGAATCCTATATGTTTACACTTTTCCTCGTATTCATCTACAGTTTTGGATTTTTGCTAATAATAAACGAAGAAATGAAATGTTTTGTGTTACGTCGATTGCGCAGCATTTCCGGTGAAAGTTAGGGCCGGCTTCTAACAACCTATAGCAATTGCACAAATTAAACATTTGTCGATTTTGATACGTTGTTATTTATGAAAAATTTTTTCGTGGCTATTTATCGTTAAGACAACATCATACTTTATTTTTGTTAGAGAAATGAATATTTTTAATTGTTAATTTGTCCCGATATATTAAATAAATAAACCGTTAAAATAACCAAAACTAAAATTCTTCATAAAGAAATTAGTTGTAAAAAAGCCTTACAAAAGTACTAACCAGAGCAATAAAATCCAAAAGAAAATAAATTAATACAGATAAACTATACGAAAAATATTGGTAAAAACCAAAGTACAGACAAATCAAATAATCCGAAAATAATCTATAATTTATTTTCAAACGTAAAAGAGCCGCCTTCTCATACTTTTAATAAAGCTTTAAGCTTCAATGTTTTCGTTATTAAACAATATAAGAAGAATCATTTATTATTATTTTATCATCCCAGCCATTAAATCGTATTAAATCCTCCAATATAATTTACTCCATAAGTATCATTCTCAATATTAATACTACTGATTACCTACCTTAATTACTTATCATTTTTATTAACATAATTAAATATCCTAACCTCACATCGCAAGCTATTACATATATAAAATCATTACAATCAACTCTGCGATATATCATTTTTTATCAAATACCTACTCAATTTAACTATTAAATTAAACTAAACCTATACTCTAATTACTTTTTCAAACCATAATAATTCAATAACACAATGCATTTAAACAATCATTATTTAAGCTAATTTCTTAACATATAACTTCTATACAAATAATATAAGCAATATAAATCAAACTCCCTCAATACATATCCTTGAACCTTGTTAAACAAAAAATAATAATAATTAAATCTTGGTGACTAATATAAACAACCTCGTAGTGGTAAGAAAATAAGAATATATTAGGTTCTTGTGATTCATATCGATGTTCATTGCATGTTAAGAGTAATGACTTCAGATTTTGTGCATAATTCAATACTTTATTGATCCGTTGCTTTTATATTATTAAAACTAAAACAATCGTTAATTTAAGAAATGCTATTAATACTTTTATAGTTAGCTAAAGATGTCAAAAGTACGCATATCAGTTAGCTTGACTCGTAGTAATTCCTTTTTTTTAACATAAGTTGCTATAATTCTACATATTATGAAGAAAAATCTAAGTACTTTATTTTCAATTCCTAAGATGACTTTAAAAAAAAATATAAAATTTGCTTCAATATTTAAACTATGCTGTTAATAATATTAATAAACCAAATAATAATTTCAAATACAGTATATTTTCAATATAAAAATGATAAAACTGGCGTGGTTTAAAATTATAAGGCAAATTTGCTCCATGCATTTTGAATTAATCTATGATATCGATATAATTCTTCAGCTTTTGTAGCGCAATTGCGGCTTGATTCAAAGTTTCATCAGTCTTACAAAATGCGAATCTTACATAATCGTGCGCTAACTGTTTATTCTTTTCACAATGGAATTCACTAGATGGTATTGCTATAATTCCAATTTCCTTTGCCATCCAGTAACAGACTTTATAATCTTTTGGCCTGAATTCTATTGCTGGTGGATATTGATAATCCGATGGAATCCGAATCTTTGAAATATTCACTAAAATAAAGAAGCTACCTTGTGGTATTGTGTATGGTAATTCTACATTTGATAATGCCTTCATTAGTTTTTCACGACGCTTTTCATATTGTTTACGATTGGTTTCATAGTATTTTAATTGCTCGGCTTTTTCTAAGGAAGTAGCTATTGCATCCTAAATTTTAATGAAGATTAAATCTTCCATTCCAACTTATTACTTTCATATACTGTAAATGGTTATATAGTCATTCTTACTTGAAACGGTGAATTTACGCAAAATACAATTCTCGTATGTGCAGCTAATACTGTTGATATAAATTTTTTGGACCAATCAACCATCCGACGCGCCAACCTGTAACACCGAATGTTTTACTACAGCTTCCAAGGGTGATTGTACGTTCCCACATTTTCGGAATATTAGCTATACGTTTGTGAATATTTTGTTCATAATAAAGTCTATCATACTTTAATTGAAATTATTGTTATCATCTTATTATATCCTAATATGCTTTTGCATTAATGATCTATAGTTTCAATACTTACTACTTCATCACTTACGATTAGCAAGTTAAATTCCTGTGCAATTTTACTAATCTCTGTTATTTCTTCGATTGAAAAAACTTTTCCGATCGGATTGTGAGGAGTATTCAGAACAATGATTTTACTTTGTTTCGTTAATTTTGATCTTAGTTCATTCATATCTAGTTTCTAATCTGCTGATGAAATTACATCTTTAGTATTGCCTTGAGGACGTAATGGCACATAGATGGGTACGCCGCCATTCATCGTAATATTTAGCTTATTTGAACATCAAAAAAGAAATAAATATACGATTTTATTTTATTTTGTCCTGAACGTTGCTTACAATGTATTGGTCATAAAATGGTTCGAATAAAATCACTTCATCACCGTTATCTAAAAAACCCGCGAAGGTTGAGTAAAGTCCCTCGGAAGCACCAGCAGAAATCAATATTTCAGTTTCTGGGTCAAGTATTCTATTCAGTAGGGGACTATAGATATTTGCCAATGTTTTTCGTAGACGAAATCTGCCTTTAGGATGACTTTTTAAAATATATATTTTAGTAAATTATTTCTTGAAACTACATATAACATACAAATCTAACCTGTATTGATTACATTCATTATGATGAATGGCATGCTCTGCAGCTTCCTTAACGAAATCTGGTGGTGGAAAACTTTAGGAATAAATTATGATTCAGTAAATATTAAATGTGTTTCATTCTATAACTTTAAATAAAGTATAATCGTCGCTCTTAGCAATCAAAATCGAGAATCTGCCGGTCCAATTTTGTTGCGACAGCTATGGTTAATTGCCAAATATTAAAACGTGCCTATGCGTACCACACGATCTGACATTTCGTGTATTCCCGAAACCAACCCGTAACACAACCCGAGCCACTTTTCTTATTGGGAATAAGGCACACACAGTATTACTGGAAAATCGTTTGATATCTCACAAATTAATTAATTGGACGGTTAGAGATGAGGTTTCGCGCAAAGTCATATGATCTGTGAAATGCATTCTAGTTTTACCTCTCGCGGGTATAATACATCTACTCGTTTGTTGATAATTCGGAATCAAGCAATTTTGATTAATTCATATGCAAACAAAAAATAAAAAAAAAAAACTTTCAAATTTTTCTTACTCAATATTCTTTTTTTTAAAAAAAATAAATATTAAAAACATATTAGTTAATGAAAAAAAATCGTATGAGAAAATTTAACAAGCCATTATGCTAAAATCCAAAATATCAGTAATTTATAGAAATGTTGTAGGATTATGCTTTCAAGATTTGTGAATTTAAAACGTGAAGATAATTGCCTCTGCAAAAGTATTCGTTTTCTTTATTAAAAAAAGCCATATTCACCCAGTCCAATTTTCAAAGCACCATTTCGAGTCAAAAAGAGGCTTATTTATTTATTAGTTTATGAAATAAAAGTTTTAGTATTATTAGCAATGATTTAGAGTGTTCTCAAGCATCAATCTAGATGCGATTTCATAGTGATCGAAATAGTGCACAAGTACAGTATTAAGACGTAATGTAATGTTGGTTATTACCATACAATTTTGGATAAAGTCAATAATACTGTAATAATTATTGAGTTATGCTCAAACATTACTATTACTGTGATTTTCTATTAATTGTAGTGATGCTCAATTGCTACGATAAATCAAAATAAAGATCTCGATCACTACTTTAAACAGTTTATAGAAATTTTACGAAAATGTGTGTCAATAATGAAAATCCATAATAAAAGTTTAAAAAAGCTTGAGCAATACTTTATTCACTTTAATACAGTATTTGTAAATTTTTGCAAGTCAGCGCAAAAAAAAGGTAGTTCATGGCAAAAAGTTTTTTGACTGAAATGGTAAACTCACTGTTCATTTTTTACTATTTAAAAGTTTTTCTTCTCGTAATAAACCACCTTACTTATCTTAACGACAAGCTCGATTGATCAATTAAAAATATTTTCCGCTAATTAAATTTTAACCTAATCTATTTTCGGTATACTTTGACCCATTGATTGAGGCGCTTGAAAACGCCCTTAATATATTAATGAACTATTCAAAAATAATGAGTGCTGCCATTACAGAAAGATCAGTTGTAGCATTAAATTGTGCTCATTTAGAAGAAGCAATTCATTGTTTTCAAGTGATAATTATATTATAAATGATATTTTGTTCAAAAAAGCACATTTCATGTAACAACTTTTTTTAAAAAAATAAAAATAAAATAAATGAAATCGCTGCATTTTATTTTTTACATTTAATTTTTATTTTCATCGCTCGATAATAAAATTACTTATATAAAAAAAATACTTTTTAATTAATCAGTAAAATTCATCTGATTCTAAACACCATACGTTTCAAATGACATATCAGATATATCGATTTGGAATCAATAAACAACGACGCACGACATAATTAAAATATTGACTGTTCGTTAATAAAAAGTGTGTGGGTCGTAACATACATGAGTGTCTAAATTATAAGTTTTAACTTAAAAGAAAGTTTCAGAAAAACTTATTATTTCAATAATAATAACATTTGTACTTATATAATATTTGCATAATTAAATATATATATATAAGTATAAATTCTAAATTAGCAAAATGCAAGTAATAAAGAATGGATGGGAACAGTTTACTTTATTTTAATATAACATAAGGGTAATAATACGTTCCCAGCAGCAACGGCTGTTGCAATCAATGCACAATTAATAGATTAGTAAAGATAATATGAAAGCTTCGCCGGCAATTGTAATAAATTGTTTATTGACTCTAATGAGTTCCTTAATTTGATTGGTCAATAGTCATGTGTAGATCGACATAAATTCGAGGATGAAAATGGGTGAGGATATTAACAAAAGTCTACATCTAATGTTACAATTGGCTTATCAGAGTATCTCCATATACAAAGTGTAGATTCATTATTGTCAAACTTAAAATTATTCCTATTGTTATAAGGGAATTGCTGACAGAGTTTGAATTATATCCTGAAGTTAGAGTATCTTGAGAACTTTTAGTACTCGTATTACTTTGAGAACAACTATCTCCGCTCATACATTTTATGCAAATTTACATTTAGTAGCATCCACCATTGCTTGTTCTATTGAATAAAACAATTTTAACATTGCTAACGTCTCTTCTGTTGATGGTGTTGAATTTGTATTAAAATCAGATAAAGTATTTGCCTGATCACATGAGATACAAGAATTGTTTTTTTGTAAACCCGCCTTTACCAAACTCATTCCAAAATTATTCACACAATCTATTAATTGTTTTGCTGTTTCATCTACCTTATTCGCTTCTTCATCATTATAATTATTGTCTTTTGCCAATTTTAATACTGAAGCTTGCTGTTTAATGATATATTGAACTATTTTTACGACTACTACTTCGGTTATTGTTTCTGGCGGTGTCCATCCCAAAAAACAAATTCCATCGCTACAATATTCGTATTCTGTACAACAATTACCATTTCCACAACATTGAAAATCATTTGGGCAACAATTAGACCCGCCACAACAAAAGGAGGTCGTTGACTCACAACAATTTTTTCCACAACAAGTACTACCTGATTTACAACAACCATTTCCATTACAACAAGTGCTACCTGATTGACAACAACCATTATTTTCGCAACAATAAGAGGTCGATGAACAACAATAAATTCCACAGCAAGTGCCTCACAACAAGTACTACTACTGCATATTGAACCGCATAGTGAGGAACAACATAAACTGGACCCTGCGCATTGATAATATCCGGGATTACAGGTGGCGGCTCTTTCATTTAAAGATTGATTTGAATATGTTCCAATAAGATGACCAGATGCATCTTGAAAGGGAAGTAATTCATCACCTTTCCATCCTGAGGGTGTTGTTGTAAAAGCAAAATTGCTTGAAATTGCAATTATAAGAGTAAATATCAATGGTAAATTTTTCCACATAATAAATTTGTTATAATTTCTGTTTATAAATGTCAATTTTCTCGAAAGTAATGTAGAGACGATATTATATCTTTTACGAGCGATAAGGAGAGTATAAAAAAAAAAAGATAGTAAATTTATATATGTGAAATTTGTTCATTAATTTTTAATTAATGCCACAAAGGCGGACTTAATAATCCATTAATTTGTTCCTTTGCACGCTTCTGGAATAAATTCAATTCGTTCTTTAATTACAAAATTGTGATCAATGATACACTAATTTTTTTTATTTCGGCAAGTATTATATAATTTTTTTTATTTATTTGAAAAATTCTATGCGATCGGTGATCCCGCGGAGTTATTCTGTGAGACTTCTATATCTTAATGATGTTTAAATTTGTGAAAACATTTAAAGCAATGTTGAAATTTGTGTTCCAAACTTATTTGACTTTGTTATACCTCGCTCTAACCGTGTTCTAACTTAGAAAACTATACAGTCAAACCTAGAAATGCTGGTGAATTTAATTTCACTAATTTCACCAATAGTGGTGAAATTATTTCACCAGCATCTTTAATCAAACCTCCCTAATGCAACTCATAGGAACCAGAATTTTGATAGCAAGAAAAAATCGCATTTATAGATGTTTAGTTATATTTGGGCTAGAGTTAAAGGTTGCATTTAGAGGTTGCATCCAAAGATTCCTGATTGTATTAGAACCAGCAAATTAAATTTTATTTAGTTGCTGAAAGTAAATTATCTTAAAACTTATACGCTATTGCATTTTTGAATTCTTCAAAATTGTTTATGTCAAATAGTCTCTTTCACAAAACTAGCTAATAACAATTGTATTACAGTGGCACACTGATTAGAAAAAACAGATTAGGAAAAACCGTCTAATAGATAATACCATTTTAGTAAACTTAATATACATATACGTTACACGTCATTAGAATAGTTGTTTTTTAACTGGAAAGTAACTCGAGTCAAATTTTAGTGAAAAATTTATATGTAATATATATATTTTTTTGCGTTATTATCACTGCTACAAATAAATTATCAGCTAGACCACTCTAAATGCAACCCCCTAAATGAAACTCTGGTCTAATACATTCTAGACTCCCATAAATGCAACTTTTCTTGTTTTTCAAATCAATAGTTACATCTAGGGAGACTTGACCGTACATTACATAATTTTATTAAGCAGAGAATATAGAAGTATATTCAAATAAAGTGAAAAATATGTTTTATGCATTTTATAGATAAATAAGTATATATGTTGTACGTACCTCAGATGCATCTTTGCATCAGATGGCGCCCAGCCCATGTTAGGATAAGAGAGTAGGGCTATAATTTTGGTTAATATTGACCGATCTGCATAGTGTTGGTAAATACCCTCGCGTCGCCAGTAAAAAAAAATGGTAGCCAGACAGACCTGCCGGTCATATGTGATATCGGATCAGATTATAGGGAAATATTGATCAAAATGTCTTCAGTGAATTATAATTGTCATCATTATGATAAATGTAGGTCTTATTAATTTTTTATTTTTTTTTAATCATAACTAAAAACAAAAATTTTTAAATTTTATATTAGTTCAGATGCGCCTTTTTACCAGATTTTTTTGATCAAATTTGGATCATACTAACATCTCGCGCATACTCGTGAGATAATGTAATGCGCGTAAGATCTCGTGCAGCGTCCACTAGCATGTAGCAAATTTATAGATTTTTTAAAAGATCGACCTCATTGAAAAAGGACGTTTAAAGCGTATTGAAGGTTAATTATTTTCAGAAATTATAAATACAGTATAAATTCCAAAAAGATGGTATTATGCGCAATATTTAAAAAGAAAGTCTTATTAGCACAGTTACTAAAATCGACTGCTCAATGGAGGTTTTTTTTTTACATTTAAACCGCATTTGTTCAAGAATTACATTTTACAAGTAGCCAAATACTTTATAACTACAAGCCAATGCATTAAAATCGTTTTTTGATTATCAGATTATGGTAACAGTGATACTGGCCTGCAAATTTTTGATTTTTACAAACTCGTATGATGAATTTAGGAAAATTCTAAAATACAGCTACCATTGATGATTTTTTAGATGATCTTGAGGAACCTTAATGCTGTAACACTGCCGTATACAAATAAAATGAAACTATGAGGACTATTATTTGTTTTCACATTGGTGACAATTGCCAACTTTGCCTACAAACATATTAAAGTTTTACAATAATGAAATACAGTAGCAATAAATGAACTTAAAGACTTGATTTGCTTCAAAACCTGAAAACATAATTAGCCTTTATGGTTAGACTAGATACTCATGTTACAGTAATCTACAATATTTACAATATATTAATTAAAGTAATTTATTTCGATAAAGATTTCTTTATTAAATCAAAGGTAATGATAAAATATTTTTGCATAATTTGTAAAAGTGATTTAAATAAAGACGGGTTCCGCGTAATCCTGTGTGAGATGCGATAGATTTTTAATATGACCCCGAATAAAATTATCTGGCCGGCATTACCACATAATCTGACTGGCATTAATATAATATCTGGCCTGCTTTAACATATTCACCGTAAATTCTCGAAATATCGAAATTTGACCCGAATTAAGCTTAATTTGGGCCGAAATTCGAAACAATGCCCACCGGTAGTACAATAAATTTGAT